TCTGAGGTCCCTCCTAGCTCTGCCATCCCCTGTTCTGAGGCCCCTCCCAGCTCTGCCATCCCCTGTCCTAAGGCCAAGCTCTAATGTCCCACGTTCTAAGGTCCCTCCCAGCCCTGACATCCCCTGTTCTGAGGCCCCTCCCAGCTCTGCCATCTCTCCTCTGTTCTTTGGTTCACTCTGATATCTCAAGATTCAAAGGATTTCAGACCCTCCCTGGTCGCCCTGCTGAGTTCCACTTTCCCATTACAGTGTGGACTGGAAAGGAAGCAGGAACTTGTTGTTTGATAAGAATTTGTAATGAAGGCAAAAATCAATGAGACTTGAGGGACTTTCCCTTTAAGAAAACTTTGTTTAATTCTAATTTTGTGCTGATTAAAGCGCATTTAAAGGATTAGCTCACACTTGCATTGCCTCTTCAGCTGCCTGTGGAAACTCAATTACAGACAAGAGATTTGGGCTTGATTAAAACTTCGAGAAAGGCTGAGAAATGTGAGCGAGTTTCAGGAGTTTGGGGAGCGGGGCTCGGCCAGCTGTGATGACAGAAATCTACAGCTGAAGGAGCCTCGGAGGTCTGCCAGGGGGAGGCCGGGGCATCTCCTGCCCTTCACAGATGAACTGAGGCCGGCAAAGGAGAGAGGAGGAGCTCAGGGGGCAGAGCTGGAGTTAGGAGCCTCGTCTCCTGACTCCCAGGTTATTCCCAAAGCTCACACTTCCAGGGAGCGAGGAGCATGCTACCTCCCAAATCAGCACTGTACTCTTTGGGACAGCTCTCTCTGTGTGTCTCTGTCTCTCTCCCTCTGCGGTCACTCCAGTGAGGTCAGGCCCACTACACCTCAGTCTCAAGCATTTATTAAGCAGGTGGGTGCCAGGTACCATGCCAAGCCCATGGGATACAAAGAAAGCCAAAAAAAAAGTGTCTGCTCTCAAGGAGCTTATATTGTCTGAGTCATTCTCCAAACAGCTACCAAAGTGATTTTCCCCAGGCGCAGATCTTACCATGGCACTCCTTTACTCTATGAATTCCAATGGTCCCCTATTACCTCTAGGAAGAAATATGAACTAAGGCTCCTCCCAGGTCTGACATCCCCTGTTCTCAGGTCCCTCCCAGCCCTGACATCCCTTGTTCTGAGGCCCCTCCTAGCTCTGACATCCCCCGTTCTGAGGCCACCCCCAGGTCTGACATTCCCTGTTCTGAGGCCCCTCCCAGCTTTGACATCTCTCTATAAATTCCAATAGCTCCCTATTACCTCTAGGAAGAAATATGAATGTTGCTCCTTGGCTTTTCCAGTCTTTCCCAGTCTGGCCCCCTCCTATCTCTCCACACTCATTATACATGATTTCCCTTTCCCTCGAAGGTCTGGCAGTCAAACGGGCTCCCACTCTGTTTTTCACATAGAATATTCCATCTCTAGCCCCCATGCTTTTGCACTGATAGTGTCCCTTACCGGGGGTGTCCTCCCTCCTCAACTCCACCCACCTCACTTCCTGAAAGATGTAGCTCAGCAGCTTTCCTGACTCTCCCCCAACTTCTCTTACCCTCCCTCCCAAGCTACCTGGTATTTATTCTGAATTTATTCTCCTTAGCTTCTGGCCTAATTAAGAATTTCCATGATATGAACAGCTTTTATTTAAAATCACTAAAATGAATCCCCAGAGAAATGAATGAGCAATACAAGGTAGCAAAGGGGCACTAGATAAAGAAAGGCCAGATATCACTGAGAGCATTACTTGGGGGCAAGGGGCAGCTGTAGACCTTGTCTCCATGACCAGGCACAACTGGACTCTATTGGAGGGGAAGAAAAAGGAATAAGCATCTTTGTAGCGCCTACTATGTGCCAGGCCCTAAACCAAGTGCTTTACAAATATTATCTCATTAGATCCTCACAACAACCCTGGGAAATTGGTGCTGTTATTATACCCATTTTACAGTTGAGGAAACTGAGGCAAAGAGAGGTTAAGCGACTTGCCCAAGGTCACACAGATAGGAAGATGCTGAGTCTTCCTGACTCCAGGCCCACAGTTTTATCCAATGCACCAGCTAGCTACCCTATGTATACTTGTGAACATCTTACTTATCAATAGTCTGTACCTCCAAAATCTTTCATTGCCTAAAAGAAAAATAATTAACATTATTCGGAAAACATGAACACTCACATTCACACATGTACACACACACACACACACACACATTTATTCTGTTTGCTCACATTGTCTCTCCCAACAGAATGGGAACTCCTTGAAAGCAGGGATTGTTTTTTTTATTCTATTTTTATCCCCTGTGCCTGGCACACAGTAGGCACAAAATAAATGCTTGGTGAATGATTAATTATTGATTGATTTTATCATGGGAGAGAACACATCCCTATGTAAGCATATACAGACTAAATACCAAAGGAAGTACTACGGTAATTAGGGAGCAGGAGGATGGGGAAAGGCTTCAGGGAGAAGGTGGGGCCTCAGGATACCTTCAAGGAAGAGCTCCTCCCACTCTAATTGTTAGCTCCTCCCTCTGAATTTGCTTTTTGGCCTCCCTGCCATTGGTCCGAGCTCTGTCCACTGGGGCCAAGAAGACCCAGGCCAAGCCCTCCCATGTCCTCCTTGGTCCATCACAGGCCCTGCCCAGATGGGATTCAGTCCATGTCTGTTGGGTGACCCCATCTCCAGGACCCGATCCCATTGCACCGCTGCCCCAACCATCTCATGAAACCCCTACCTTGAGCCAGGTCCACCACTGGGGGCTCCACGTTGGCAGGGAGCTGCAGAAGATTGTAGATACACTCTGACTCCATGATCTTCTTGAGGCCCCTAAGAAACACCAAGGGAAAACGCCTTCAGTGTGGGTGTAGACCTAACCCCCCACCCCTGAAGGCCAGTGGCAGCTGAGAAAGAGTCTCACGAGAGCAGAGCGTTGCATCAAGTGGCCTGGTCATCAGACGTAGCTACTAAGAGACCACTGGGTGGTGGCTCAGTTTGGTTTTCATCTTTACAGACAACCATCTTAGAATCCCTGAATCTCTGAGCTGGGATGGACTTCAAGGGGCATCCAGTTCAAACTCTGCCTGAGCCAATCAGCCTCAGTTTACAGAGGAGAAAATGGGCTTAAATCTGGATGGGAAGGGAGTTCCCTAGACACACTCAGATGTCTTGAGGTGAGTGATCTAGGGATGGGCTCAGAGCAGCAAGTACGAAGCCGAGAGGCCGTCCCATAGACCGAGATCTACCTCCTTATCTCAAAGCCTGGACCATCACGCCAGCCTGTAGGATGACTGCCATCCCATGGAATGAGCTGCTAAAGGGGAAGGGTTGTGGTTTTGTGTTTCTTTGGACACTCAGCACCCAGCACAGCCGGGCCCAGAGGAGACAATTCATAAATGCTTATCAATTAATCGATCAGCAAATGTTGGTGGAACTGGAAACAAAGTTCAAAACGTCAATGCATGGTGCAAACAGGGCTTTGAGGACCCCAGGAGGCTCTGCTGCCTCCTGCACTCTACAGACTCCCGGAGATCTGCAAGGATGTGCAGTGGAGGCCAGCTTCCCTGGGCAAGAATACCCAACCTCCCCCCTGAGTTCTGCTATTTGAGACCCTTACACCTCTAGCTCCCATGGTGTCCAGGCTTTGAGGGGCTTATCTTCACACTAGGTTCTGGGACCCCTGCCCTAGACCCTTCCCCAAAGCCAGGGCTCAGTCACCAAGGGCCCCCAAGCTAAGGAGTGCCAATCACATGGTTCCATTTAAACTCTGGATAGTGTGAGTGAGGACAGAGGCAGCTCACCTCTGCCTCCATGGGAGAATCCTGGCCTGCACTATGAGCCCAGGGGAGCCAGACCCAGGTCTGGTCCTGCTGCAATCGTACGTGCAGCCCTGGCCAAGGCAGGAGTCTTCTCTGGGCCTCAGCTTCCTCAACCTCTAGGGTCCCTTCAAACTCTGACATTCAAGGACTCTAGGATTTCTCTTTAGGAAGGAAGAGCAGGTTTAGAACCCAGTCTAACCTTCTTTCCTGTTTTTATCAGTTTATTTAATCTTGAGGGTATAATCCCTCTCTCCTCCTTTCTCTTCACTCTGTTTCTCTCCCCTCCTTCCTTCCCTTCTCTTTTTCTCTTCTCTTCTCTCCTCCCCTTCTTTCTTCATTTCTCCCTCTTCCCCTTGCTCCATAACCCTCTCTCTCTTCCCTCTTTCCTTTCTGTCTCTCACTCACCTCTCTTTCTGTCTCTCTCTCTGTCTCTCTGTTTTTCTCTGTCTCTCTGTCTCTCTCTCTGTCTCCCTTTCCTTTTCTTTCTCCCTCTTCCCCTTGCTACATAACCCCCTCTCTCCCTGCTTTCTTTTCTCTGTCTCACTCACCTCTCTCTCTCTCTCCCTGTCTCTCTCTGTCTCTCTTTCTCCTAGTTTCTCCCTCTCTCTCTGTCTCTCTCTCTTTCTCTGTCTCACCTCTCTCTCTCCCAATCTCTCTCTCTCCCTCTGTCTCTCTCTCCCTGTCTCTCTCTGTCTCTGTCTCTGTCTCTCTCTGTCTCTCCCTTTCCTTTTCTCTCTCCCTCCCCCCTTGCTCCCTAGCCCCCTCTCTCCCCCTCATTTTTACACTACCAGGCATCTCTAAGCCTGGGCAGGCAGCAGATATCGACCTGTGGACACAGCCTCAAGTGCAGTAATTGACTGACTGTCACAGCTGACTCGGGCTCACAAAGACCACCTGCCAGGCCCAGGCCCAGGCCCAGGGACGGTGGCTCTCATTGGCCTGGGCCGGGCTGCCTGAGCTCTCACAGACACATCCTATTCCAGGAGGGGGAGCCGAGACAATGGTACCAATTTAGCTCTTCCCAGGCAGCCAGCTGTTATTTGCTGATCAGCAGGCTCCCCGTGGGGCTGATGAGTCAATGCATGGCTAGAGGACAGAACAGAACCTCCCATGGCTGAGATTGGAGGGGGGGGGGATGCAGGGAGTCTGAAAATAGCGACGGCGGCTTCTGGTGGGGACGACACCGCCGTGGACGCCCCGCAGCCTCCTGGACCGTGCAGGCTGGATCCACTCCAACCGACCCCCTCATTTAGCCAGGGCAAAAGCAGATGCCCGGAGGGCAGGCAGTGCGGAAAGCAGCTTTCCCAGAGCTTGACAAAGAAGTGTCTGGGCTAGGATTCGAACCCAGGTCTTCCTGACTCCACCTATAGTGTTCTAACCATTAAGGAACACTGCCCAAGGCGACACAAGGGGAAGCCAAACCGGGCGGCTCTCCCTGCCCTGGGCCTTTCCTCATCCAGGCCCTGAACTCCGCCCCCCTCCCTACCTCCCTTGGCTGTGTCCCTTCATTCAAGGCCCGTCTGAGCTTCTGCTTCCTCCCAGAAGTCGGGCCTCACCCTCCCCCACCTACTGTTTCCTCCCTGCCCCTAGCCGGCCCCTCCCTTCTTCACTGGCCACTTGTTCTTTGTGTTCCTGTCCCCCCACGCCCACCCCTCAATTCTAAGGCCCTCAAGAGCAGGTTCTGGGTCCGATCCATCCCTGGGTCCCCAGCACCACGCACAAGCCTCACACAAAGTGGGTGCTTAATGGCTCTGTCTTGAACGACCCCCGTTGGACAGAGGAGACATCTGAGGCCCAGAGAAGTTTAGTGACGGGCTTAATGTCACACAGCTTTTAAGTGTCAGAGAGAGGATTAGATTCCAGGTCCCAAAGTCTTCCCGGCCCCCTGCTATTGCCCAGGCGGGGGCTGGAAAAATGAGGAACTTACCTTTCTGGGAGCTCAGGCGCCGGAGGAAGCAGAAACAAAAGAGAAAGACCGAGGGTGGTCTGGGGGACAGTAGGCAGCCCTCCTGGCCGTCAAAAAGAAGCCCCCCAGCCTGGAGCTCAGAGCAACCAGGAGCAGCCCCAGCGGAAGTCCCAGCCAGGTCTGTGGCGGCAGAGACTCCTACAAACTGCTCACTTCCTCCCACAACCCTGCGAGGGTTGTCTGTCCAAGGGCAAGTTCACAGGCCCTGCAGACACCCTGCATCTGCCCCCAAGGCACCAGGGGCTGCGGGGGTGAGGGGAGGGTGATATAAGCACATGATGACTGCAAAGGAAGCCTGGACTCTGGCACAGAGTACTGCCCTGGGGGAAAGGCAGGGTCCTGGGGTGTCACCCTGCCGCCAGAGGGCTGTGAGACCTTGGGACAATCACTGCCCCTTCATCATCCCCAGTTTCCTTTTCTATGAAGCAAGGTTGTGGGAATAGCTTTTTCCTAAGACCCCCTCCCAGGTCTGACATTCCCTGTTCTAAAGACCTTCCCAGGTCTGACATTCCCTCTTCTAAGACCCCTCCCAGCCCTGACATCCCCTGTTCTAAGGCCCCTCCCAGCTCTGACATCCCCTGTTCTAAGGACCCTCCCAGGTCTGACATCCTCTGTTCTAAGGACCCTTTCAATTCTGACCTTTCCTGTTCTAAGGATCCTCCCAGTTCTGCCATTCTCTATTCTAAAAATCCTCCAAGCTCTGACATTGCCTGTTCTAAGGCCCCTCCCAGTTCTGACATTCCCTGTTCTAAGAACCCTCCCAGCTCTGACATTCTATGTCCTGGCACTCAGAGAGCTGAAGGGAAGAGCCAGAAACTAAGACAAGTGTCAGGAAGCATCATCCCAACTGAAATGGCCTGGACCAGGGAGCTGGGGGTGGCCCAAGACGTCACAGAGGACCACCAGGCAGCAGACCAAGAGGCGGAGCACCAGGTGTGACTGTGGACTTCTTCACCCACCCTCAGGCCCCCAGCGGTCAGAGCGAGGGGGACAAGATTTGCCCAGGGAAATGAGGGGGGAAGAAGGGCTGGGGCTCAACACGACCAAGAGGACTCCCGAGTTTGGCATAACTGGCTGCATCCACAGGAGCTGGCTAGAGCTGGACATGACCTCAGACACCACCAGGTCCGTCCCTTTCTTTTCAGAGGAGGAAACCGAGGCCCAGAGAGGCTAAGGGGCTTGTCCAGGGTCAGACAACTAATAAGGAGGAGCAGCTAGGTGACATAGTAGTTAGGACCGTGGACTTTAGCAAGACCTAAGTTCAAATCCTCACTCAGACACATACCAGCTGTGTGACCTTGGGCAAGTCATTTAACCTGTCTGCCTCACTTTCCTCATCTGTAAAATGGGTATTATAATAGCACCTACCTCCCAAGGTTGTTGTGAGGATCACATGAGACACCATGTGTGAAACTTTTGCCAACCTTAAAGTATCATGTAAATGGTAGCTATTATTCTTTAGTATTTGAGGTAAGATGTGAACACCAATCTCCCTTTCTCCAAGCCCAGCGCACTATCCACCGTGTTGTCTCTCCTTATGCAAAGGCAAGAAGGTCCCTTTTCTGGACCCTATGGCTGGGGTATTGGGAGGGGGAAGGAATGGTAGCTGTTCTCTGCCAGCGGCTTCTAGGAAAGCTGGCTCCTTCGGGAAGAGTCCAGACCTTGCTATCCTGGGAATACCATGATAAGATTCCAGGGTGAGCCTGGCCATCAACATGGGGGCAGATCCCTCCACTGGAGCCTCAGTGAGGTCTCAAAACTGCATTGTGACCTCCCGCTCCCCCAACCAAGTCTCCTGCACTGAAGCCTCATCCTTCAGCCAACTCAGATAGCCATTGACAAAGTATTTTACCCACATCATCTCTTATCAGAGACTGTGAGCTCCCTGAGGGTAGGGGCTGTCTCACTCATCTTGGTACCCCCAGTGCCTAGTACAGTGCCTGGTGCACGGAAGGCTCTTAACAAATGCCTCTGGGTTGATAGCTGAAGGAGCTAAGGATCAGAACATTCAGAGACTGCCAGCTCTCTTGGCCTTCAGTCAGTTAATCAATAAGCATTTATTAAGCACCATCTATGAGCCAAGCACCAAAATGAGGCTAAAAATACAAAGAATGAAACAATCCCTACTCTCGAGCTTACATTCTAATGGGGAAGAGAACAAGCACACACACAGAAATGTACAGAAACACAAATCAGTCCAAGATTGTTATCATCTTGGGGAGCAGTGGGGGGAAGAAGGATGCAGGTAGAAGGGGGTCCTTGAGATGCATCTTGAAGGCAGAGAGGGTGGAAGTGAGGATGCACCTTCCAGGATGGCTGGGCAAAGGCACAGAGGTGAGAGATGTCAGAAGGAATGGAGGAAGCCAGTTTGGCTGGATCCCAGAGTGTGGGAGGGAGGGAGGTGTGTGTTCCATGGTTCTTGCCACTTCCCAGTCCTCTGCCCCCAGCCACCCCAAGAAGGCTGGAAAGTTTCCCCCAAAGCCAGGGGAAGGAAATCTGAGCCTATGTATGGAGTTATGCTGCCCTGAGTGGCCAAGCAGAGAGAGGGATGGAGACGGGAGCGAACCCATGTGTGAAACACTTTCTGACACATGTACCCACTGCAGAGGTAATGGATAAACAAGGCTGCTTTCTGGAACGTTGTGATTTTCACACCCAAGTATGCAGATTGGGAGGGAAATGTACTAAAAAGCTGCTTGAAAAAGTAAGAAAATGAGAGCATGAAGATAGAGAAATGCATGTTTGTGTCCTTCTGAGACCTTCTTGCTTCTCCTCACTTCCCTCTCTGTGCTGATTCAATTCAAAGAGCACTTATTAAGCAACTACTGTATTCAAGGCTCTGTACCAAATACTGCAGATGCCAGGAAAGAAGAGAAGCTGGCCCTGACCTCGAGAAGCTTACATTCTACAAGAATAGACATCCCATCAAGGTAAAGAAATACAAGATGCTTGGAAGAAGAAGCAGATGCTAACAATGGAGGACGGGGGGAGGGAGGGGATCAGAGAAGGCTTCATGGTGGAGGGTGCTTCCCTGAACTGAGCCTCAAAGGGAAATAAGGATTCAAAGTGAAGGTGAGAAGAGAACACCTTCTTGGTATGGGAAGAGATTGTATAAATGCATGGAGGTAGGGGTGCCATGTTGTGTTTGGGGAATAGCTATTAGGCCAGTGAGAAAGGATATAATGTTTGAGTCACTGAAACGGGGTGTCCAGAAAGTAGCTGGTAATTCAGGGTTGAAGATTTGGAGAAGGGTCAGGATTAAACATATGGATTTGGGAATCATCCAGGAAGAGAAAATAGTTGAACCCACAGGAGCCAATGAAAACACAAAGGAAGGGGCAGTGGATAGAGCTCTGGCCTTGGAGTCAAGAGAACCTGAGTTCAGATCTGACCTCAGACACTGGACATTTACTAGCTGTGTGACCCTGGGCAAGTCACTTAACCCCGATTGCCTCACCAAAAAGTGAAAAAAAAAACACAAAGGAAGAGTGTAGAGGGAGGAGAGGAGAGGGCCCAAGATAGGGTTCTTGAGGGGCACCCACGGGTAGGAGGAATTCAGCACCCTGTGGATGCCTTCTCAGAATTATGCTTTTAAATGCTTACAATAAAATACACAGGAGAACAAAGGAAAACAATGAGACAGAAATAATGATCCAAAAACATTTTTAATGGACCCCTGCTCTAAGAGACATGTTTCTCACAATGTGCTGGTTGTTCCTTGAACTCAGAATTCCAGCCCTTGCCTCCCTGCCATTAGATAGGCTGTCCCCCGTGTCTGGGATACCATCCCTCCTCACTTTCATCTCTTAGAATCTGCAGTTCTCTCCAAGTCTTAGCTCAAGGACCATCTTCTATAGAAGCCTTTACTAGGCTCAGCCTCCTCAGATGACCTTGTACTTACTCTTCTGTTTAAAAGCTAGAACATAAGCTCCTTCAGGAGAGGGCAGGGACTATTCTTTTTTGACTTTTATCATTAGCACCTAGTAAAGTGCCTGGTATACAGTAGGCACTTAATAAGTGTTTATGATATTGGACTACGAGTAGAGCGTGAAGATGGGGAGGGCATTCTAGACCTAGGGAAGGGAGTGTACAGGGTTTGGAACATGTTCCTTTTGGCCATTGTCAATCAGCATGAACTAAGGCTAACAGCCTTAGTACTAGCTTTGAAAATGAAGCTTGTTTGATATTGACTCATTGGGCTTAGGAGCACAATGTATAGTGCCCATCTTCATAGAGATTATATCCGGAAGTCTGGGATCTCAGTGTGGAAAGGGACCTTGGACAGTGTTCGGTCTGAAGAAGTCATAGAGACCACCATTCAGTCTTTGCATTGAGATGTCCAGTGAGGAGGAGGCTAGGATGGCCACTGCCACTTTGGGACAGCTCCAATCCAGAGGAAGTTTTCCCTTCCACCAAGTCTGCCACTTCTGCCCCTTTTTGCCAGGTGTGGTCCCTGGGGCCAAGCAGCACAAGTCTGATCCCCATTAACCAGACAGCACTTCAGATCCTCGTCCCCCCCCCCCCACATCTACTTTCCTCCAGGCCTTAAATATTGGAAAACAGGCATAGGAAGGACAAAGCTCTCTTCACAAACACTCAGCAATAAAGGACACCATACAAGGGCATCATAGAGGGAAAGGATGAGCTTGATAAGAGGCGGGGTTAAGGATGAAAAACTTCCTCCAGGGCTTGAAGGGAAGGAGATAAGCCCCCAGTTTTTGCTCTGACAGCAACAGGGCATTTGCTTTGCTTCCCAACAGTGCTAATCCTGGATTGTTTAGAAGAGAGAGCTTGTGATGTATGTGAGTGAGCAGATCTTAAGAAACATAGCAAGCAACATCTGCTTGGGGTGAATGAAGATCAATGCCTGTGAGGGGGCTGATCTCGGGAGAACTGAGCACACTCCTAGCCACCCAGCCTAAATGTGTGTTCTCCTCCCCAAGGCAAGCAGGGCATTTCACAATGACCAAAGTGGGGTCACCACAAAGCCTGCAAGGAAGAGATGCCATCAGGAACCTATGAATAAAGGGTGAGGAGGGGGCGCTGTCCAACTTTATTCAGCTCCTGGTCTGCCACATGTCTTCTCATTCCCTCCTAATTTAATTTCACCCAAGAGGCCTGAGCTCATGCTTGTCTTATCTTTATTTCTCATGCAGGTTCAAGTTCAATCATTCCACATCCAAAGGAAAGAAAGAAAAAGACAGAA